TCCTCATACCTTTAAGCAATAGTCATACCACATGCAGAGCACAGCAACTCCAGTTTCTCTACATCCTCAAATACGTGTGTGTGTGTGTGTTTATTTTTGCCTTTGGAACCCTAGCTAGCAGTAAGCAGTATCTCATCCTAATATATTTGTTTTTTTTTTTTTTGAAACATGTAGATCATGTAAATTAAACTGGGCTTAAACTCACCAAGATTCACCTGCCTGAGGTTCCTAAATGCTAGGATTAAAGACTTACCCTGCCACACCAGCAAGCCCCAGGATTCTCCCAGCACCAGGATCACAAGTGTGCACTGGCACACTTAGGTTTTGTTTATGTGCTGGGGACTGAACTCAGGTCCTCATCCGAATGTGGTAAGCACTTTACCAATCAAGCCTATATGTATCTGAATGTGGCTATCCACACAGAGGTTTGGGTACCTGTTCCGTCCCCACCCCCCACCCAAGCTAGAGTTACGGGTGGTTGTCAGCTACTCAATGTGGGAGACAGGAATGAAATTCAGGTCCTCTTTACCCTTAACCACTGAATCACCTCTCCAGCCACACTTTGACCTAAATTTTAAATTGAGTTGTTTTATTTTTGTTGTTGTTGTTATTTTGCTTGCTTGCTTGTTACAATACTTTCTACATGTAAAAACTATTCTGAGTACATAGCCATTAAATAAACAGTCACAGAGGGCTGAAGAAATGACATAGCAGATAAGAGGGTGTATGGCTCTTCCAGAGTTCGGAAGCTCAGTTCCCAGCATCCACATCAGCTAACTTGTAACTGTAAGTCCAGATGTCACTCATATGCACACACACATACACATAAGTAAAAACTACAAAATAGGGGCTGGAGAGATGGCTTAGCAGTTAAGAACCCTTGTTGCTCTTGCAGAGGACCTGGGTTCAATTCCCAGGACCCACAAGGTGATTCAAAACCATCTGTAACCCCAGTTCCAGGAAATTCGATTCCTCCGGCCAGTGTGGGCACCTGCATTCATGTGCACATACTTATACATAGTCATACGTACATAATTAAAAACAATAAAACTAAAGCTAAAATAAAATTTTAAAGTCTAAAATTAAAAAAAAATTTGTTGTTGTTTGTTTTTCGAGACAGGGTTTCTGTGTAGCCTTGGCTATCCTGAAACTCACTCTGTAGAACAGGCTGGCCTCAAACTCAGAGATACCTCCCAAGTGCTGAGACTAAAGGCTTGCCCCCCCCCCCCCCCCCCCCCCCGTGGGGGAGGGGAGGACAATA